GCCGCCCAGCCGCCCATTATCAAAGTCGCTAGCTTGTGCCGACAACGAGTCGTATGTGAACCGATACATTGAGCTTTTGGCAAACATTTATATTTTTTGTTCACTATTGCAAAACGCATCGCGCACGGGCCGACAACTACGCATCGCAAAGTTGGTGTTATAGTGCGACGTTCCGTTACCGTTAGACAACCAAAATACTGGTTGCAGAGGTAGAGAGGTGGAGAACCGGTAGCTGTAGTTGGGTTCCTGTATCGCGTTTGTTGCATTTCATTTAGTCCGCGCTCGGGGACTCGTACGATGCTTAAACAAATAGGACAGGCTGAGATTGAAGCACGAACCCAAAGTGACCCGACTGTGTGGTGAAGTGAAACGATTAGTAAACCTTTGGGAATGCAGGAGCTGAAACAGTGGAAATAGAACGGAAATACAAATGCAAGTTTTAACGCCGCCCAACCAGAGAAATTCACTACACTGGTATACGCCTAAAAGAAGGCAAACATTGAAATATTCAGTTGCTCGTAAAGTCCTATAAGGTCTAGCGGTCCAAATACACAAACGCATACACTCCAATAAGGGTTTATTATTAAAAGCAAGAGAAACTAGCGCTTCAATGTAATTGAAAATGAATTTGACTTACTGACTTGCTAATATGTATGTACTCGTACGTGTGCAAATCAGCTGCTCTCGTAGCTACCAGTATTGCGCTTCATCTGTGGTTTTCATTTTCGGTAGCTCCGTATTATATAGCACCCGATTATGGCAACACATCAACTAAAGGATTTGAACACTTTTATTCTCTTCGCGCGGAGAGTGAATAATCCGACTAAGAAAAATCACTGTTTCTCACAATCACTCTCTCTGAGTGTCGGCCTTAAAAGCTTTGGAAAGCAAGCTTTTTCTCATTTGTGCACTAAAGAGTGTATATAATACTCTTGGTAGGTTTTTAACAAAAACTGTTAAATTTTTTATTTCCTTAAAATTTAAAATATTTAAAAAATGATAAGCATTTACTTTTGTTTATTAAGTAACATTTATTCTCCTTTCATTATATTTATTTCAATTGTAGTCATATCTACAATGTCTTAACCAATTATTAAAAAACACACAATAGGCATAGAATGAGCTTAAAATTATTAAGTTTTTTTATTTCTAAAAGATGTTACACCCTACCGACTTAACGGTATTCAAACATAAAGTATATTTTACTAACCAAAAATTTACTATTTTGATTGAACGAAACAATGATGTTGGCTCAAAAATTCCTGAGATGTCTGAATTCAAAGACAGTGGAAATTAACTTTCTATCTAGTAACTTAGATTTTATTTTATCTGCAATTCTTATTTTTACTGTTATTCAAAAACCAAAGTTTTCGCCAGCAATGCATGAATATCACCTGAGTCGAATCGACAGTCCACAGAATGTTTGAAAATCCAAAACGCCAGAAAACACAAAAGTTAATGGCAAGGACTTAGTCATTCTTAGTCATTCATCATTTTTTGAAATTCACATGGAATTATCATTCATCAATTACCACAAACTTGGTAAAACAATCTATAAAGAATTGTAGTATGCATTATTGTATCGGTCGTCGAGATCAAAGTTAGGTCAAATTGTTAGGCCAAAGAATTTCCTGCCATGTAGTATGATGAGATTTAAGACGTATGCAGGGACTCAGTTTTTTTTTTTTTTTGCTCCTATTATACCGTACATGTTTTCGGTTTCTGTCGTATTTGGTTTAACCTAATAGGTTAGGTTAAATGGCTGATCCCTCGGCATGGCGGAGGGATCACACTAGACTGTTATGTTTACTCCTTTGTGACGCCATACGAAAAACTCTTGTAGTTGGATATTAGCTATCAGCAAAGCGCCCTGAACCTATCACAGAACTATTTTTTCTATTTGACCTGGATGTCTAAGTGAATTCCGTACCATCATTGAAAGGTGTACCTTGCTGAGAGCGAAGAGCTCCCTAGACCCCTTCCGAATTAGCCCGGGCCAAAAGGATCTTGCGACTGCACAACTGTTGCTAGTGAACCAACGCTTGCTGAGCTGGTCTGAGGCCCAGCGGTCCAGTAGAAAACCACAGATAGCCAACGGGCTCCTAACTGTTCCCATTCCGAAGTTTTTGAGACTGAAGTACCTGCTCTAGCAAGCTCATCAGTCTTACAGTTTTATGCAATATCGCTGTGACCAGGCACCCAAGCCAGTCTTATTATAAAGTCACTTGATGATAGAGATAAGGAGTCTTGACACCCCTTCACTAGTCTTGAGCGCTAAGTCAACGAACTCAAGGCTAATATCTCTGCCCTACTAAAGTAGTAGCACTCTGAAACAGGCTGCGCTCTGGAACAGTAGATCTACTGATACCTTTATGGCACCTACCTCCGCTTGGAAGACGCTGCAGTGGTTAAAACTGAAGTTGATGGAAAGTTCCCGACAGAGTATTCCTCCACCAACCAACTCTAGCGAGTACCGCCCTCCCATGTCACCCTCGAAGGTAAGTGAGCATGAAAATGGCTCGCAGTTATCTAAATACCCAGATTCTTTGAGTAGGAGGACAGTTTTAGAGACTATACACCTTGCGGCTATGCGCAGCGGTGCTATATGCAGAAAGACGTTTAGCGCCATAGTTGGTGTGGTTCGTAGTGCACCACAAATACTGATGAGAGCAGCCCGTTAAACATTCGCCAATGTTTTCGCGAGGTTTAATATTATATAACTGTATTTACAATAAAGTTGGTTTCACTCATTGAGCACTATAAAATGGCATTTTCTTTATTGCAAATATGAAAATTTATTTTAATAAGGAGTGGTTACCACATAATAATTTGAAAATATAATGCAATGTTTTGTATGAAAAAAAATTGTTTATGTAAATTTCCGTTGGAATGACCCATATATATTAATGCAATGAGTAATGGCTTCGAAAAAACAATGTTATAGTGGGCTAGTCCCACTTCAAATACAAAGTTCTGAATTTTCAAACAATTTTTTTTTTTTTTGTTGTACATCTTAAATTGCTTTTAAGTCTATAAATCCTAACACAAAACAATTTTACTAACTCTCCACCAAAAACCAGTCTGTAAGCAGACCTTCTCTTAAATTTACAAGATGCTCTTTGAGAAAAAATAGTACTCTTCTGTTTCCATTCCACACATTTTCACCTCAGCTTATTCTACCGTTTTTTTTTTCTTCAAACTTTAAGCCATAATTTTGCCATAAATTTCCAGTTACCACTTCAACTTCCAGAGCTCCAACTGCAAGTCGTACCTGACCATCACGTTTTAGTCTGCTCCACCTTTTGACCGACAATAACACGAGCACTGACGTTTCAAATGTCAAATGCAACGCATAACCACACATATTTTGACGATAGTGCTTGTGTGTGGAGGAATGCCCCTGTTGAACAAAGCATTTTTACAGTGGGGCAATAGGATTTTGTGGCATAGCGTTGTGTACGAACCTACCTTAAGATGCCGGCCGGCGCATTGAATGTCACACAAATTTACTAAATACTTTTTGCCTGGCCACATGCGGGCATATGACTGTATAAATTGCTTCAGAGTTATTGCGTGTACTTCATGCTTGGTTTTTATTTACCTTTTGTCTGCGAGACCACTGTATGTAAAAATACAATGAGAAATGTGCTGCAGGAGTTTTAAGGAAATCGCAAAACAATGGACTATTTAATGTATTTTTTTGATCTTATTTTTCATTTCTTTGAAATTTCTCTTTTATGCTCTTTACACCGCTATTAAAATGATCGAATGTATTAAGCAAATTGGGTCTACAGTAGCACAATTTTTAAGCTAATTAGTGGCCAAGTGATTATGACTATGTTGGATTGTTGATACCAAAATAGTATCAAAAGAGCTTTAGCTTTGCCCACATTTTGGAGCGTTTATATCAGCCTCTGTTCCTAAGTATAGTTATTTAAAATAATTAAATGATGACCATTTAGGAATAAAGTACGCTCGACCATTTCGTATATTATTCTCCTCACAAGTCAGCAGTAAAGATCCCACAGTGAAAGTTCATCAAACGAGATCTATACTAAGATTCAACGAGTGTAATAATGACGTACCCAGAAACTAATTGGCATCAAGTCGAACGCTCTCCAACTAACTCAAAACAGAACGTCCACTGACTTATAGTTGTTGTTTTTGAAATATACATGGACAATCACTTGAACTTTTATTTAAGAAAAGCATGTATAATAATCCAACTGAAGTTATGGCATTTTCCCATCTTTCTGGCAATTGTGGACTCCATACAAAAATAACAACGACGGTTTGGCAGTATTTTAGTAAGGACGTTCTGCATCGACCAGAATAAATGGTAGTCTGAAGGGGCATGTTCTGGGCTATAAGGCAGATGAGGCATAACTTCCCAGCCGCTGTTTTCTATTGGTGCAGCATGACCTCTAGCGTTTTCGTGATGGAAAATTATTGTCTCATGTATATATAGTCGCAAATACGGGCGTTTTTCGGCAATCGATCACTTCAATTTGACGACTTGTTGTCGGTGGTTTCACCCGTTTTTGGAAGCTCGTTATAAAGCACGCTCTTCTGATCCCACCAAATACAGAGCAGTACCTTAGTCAGGTATATTCAGTTTTCTAAATTTTACATATGATTTTATGCGTTCAGGGTTGTCGTAATAGATGCATTTTAAATGATGAATCAAATCCGTTGTAGTATTGGCAGGTAAAATGTCTAGTTCAGTTCTAATCTCTGTTATTAAATATAAAGTTCCTTAGAAAGTAAAGTAAACGTTATCTCTAGTATTCAAAACTTCCTGACATAATGCAATCGCCAGAAACCGACTAACCCACGACAAGGGGAACAATTAAAAAAGTGGAAGTAGAGAAATAAGCAGTTATTACGAATAACGTCTTTTTACTAACTCGAATTTTCCAAGAATTATTTATACCAACTTCTTTACGTTTAAGTTTTAAATAATCGGATATTCGAAATAATAGTCTTCACAATCATCTCAACCATTCGGTAACTTACATTTACATATTACAAAATAGTATATTTTGTTTGTCAATCAAAATTCAAAATTAAAAAAAACGAGCAATTTACTTTCATTACAATTATCTGGTCTTAAAAACTTTTTACTGATTTTGACCTAGACTATCGGGTATCAAACCCAAGGCTGAAAAACACAACTAGTGACTTCAAAAGCAAAATAACCCTTTTCATTCCACGAAATCACTTTAGGAAAATAATGAAAGTCAGTGACGAGAAGGATTCCGAAACTAGCAAGCGGAACTCAAGTAATGACTATAATCCCGACGGAATATGCTGTTGCAACTCTGAACAAAGTCCATACGATCAGACCTATGTCTGGTATCCGAAACAAGTAAGTATTAAAGAACTCGAATATGTGCGGCGGATGGAGTCGGAGTTTACATCTCTACAACGCGCTGTTCTTACACTAACCACGCAATTCGCACGATTGCAATTTCGCATACGACAAACAGTGCAAGCTGAACCCTTTGAACGCGATGATTTGCTACTTGATCTCCATGATTTAGCATTCAATACCGCTAACGGAGGAAACGATGAGCTGCCACGTATACAGCATGATTCCATAAGTATGGGCGATGTGCGCCGCAAACAACATTTCATACTCGATCACCTCCATCAACAACTAACCACATTGGTCGATGAACATAGTTCCAAATATGCACCTGAATTCGGTGCTGATACACGGGCAGCCCGTAAAATCCGAGGAGCCAAAAGAAATTCAGAGCTAGCATCGGATACTGCACAATCCTCCGAGCCAGATTATAATGCATTAACGAGTGGTGCCGATTCGGAGTACTCGGCCTCAAACAGAAATAAAACTGACCAGTGGGGAGAAACTGAAGGTGGAAGTGACAAAAATCACTTGAGAAGTTCAAGTACCAGCCGCAAGGGGCTTATAGAACTTTGCCTATAATATATATACAAACAAATAAATGCTGAGGGAGCTTTTTCGAAAGAGGCTACAGATGGCTATTTTAACTTTAGTCAAGAAAAGTATGAGTATTGTGGCGTTGAGATCCGAAACCATGCAAACAGCAACCAAACAACCGAGTAGAGTGAATATTGATACCGGATAGTCGGGTTTAGTTGCAAATATATATCGTTAAATTCTATAATTTTGACTTGTGTATGTCTTTGAGTTAGACAACGCAACAAATCATAATTATATAACTGTATATATTTTAAGTAGTATGGCGAAGAGAAAAAATAGAAAAGGCCATTGATTTTTTTGTATTTAATAAAAAAGAAATTAAAATAACTTTTGTGAACTTGACCTGGTTTGAGCTCTACCCGTATTATGAATATCATTAACACAGATGACAAGCACCCAATTCATATAAAACTAGATACCTCAAAGCTATAAAATTTCAGTTCATAAAGAATATTTCACTTGGATAATATTAGCCATTTTATGAAGCAAAGAGATTTACAGGGATTTGGGATAGTTTTGTTTTGACGGCGTGTGGAAGCGGGGATGTCAGCGCATTTTAGAAATATGGAAAAGGAACAATGTCGGTTGGTAATTCGATTATTGTCGGAAAAAAAATTACACAGTGAAATCAAAAAAATGCTGTTTACAGTGACTCGTCCCTTTCATTGGCGACCATCAAAACCTGGTTTAGTTAAAGATTTTCAACGTAATCAAGCGTCTATTTTTGGTTTGGTTTCGTCTAAGTTTAAAATTCGATGGTCCCTTTTGGTCCGACTACCGATTGAAGGTGCATGAGATAGTTGACATAATAGCCATCTCAAAAAAACTGCAAGGTTCCATATCGTGCATGAAATATTGAAATGACAAAAGTTCTCGGCGTGATGAGTGACAAGTTCACTCATTTCAGACAACAAGTGCAATACTTGTAATACCACTTCACAACTTAATTTGCCGCCGAATCCGAAGAAGTTTATGCCTCGTGCCGTTGCCATCAACGAAGCATAGATTCGTTTCTTTAAATCAGAGATCCAAGAACACAAACAGTGGACCTCACCGGGTGAACTCACTCCGAAGAAAGTGAATACTCTCCCATTAGCCAGTAGGGTATGTTATGCTGAATTATTTGATTGATTAGAAAAAGTGAAAATGGTCAAATGGAATTTCTAAAAATTAAAATAATTTTATTACAGATACTCAAACAACTAAGTCCATTGCGAAATATTTCAACTGTGTGGAGAAACACGTATTATGTACAAATGTCAAAATGAGAAATTTTCGTACTCAGTCAAAATTCAAAATTTAAAAAATTTCATTTTCTGGATAAAACGTTTGTTTACTATACTTAGCCGTTACATCATAACCAACTAATTTCCGTGATAAGAAAAACATTAAAGCCACGTTATTGAACGACAACTTAGAAAAGCTTAACTGCTTCTTTGTTGTTGAAAAACTAGTGCAAAATATCGTTGTTTATTTAAAGTAATGAAAAACAAAGATGGCAAAAATTCGGGTGGTAACAGTCCGACCGATTCTCAACACGCTGACGTAGAAGGCTGTAACTTCGGACTAAAGCCATTTGAGCTGCTATATCTTTGGTATCCAAATCAAGAGAGTGTGAACCACCTCGAATATATCCGTCGGTTGGAATGCGAGTTTACATGTCTCCAACGCGCCTTTCTTACTCTTACCACACAATTTGCACGTTTGCAATTCCGCATACGACAAATAGTTCAAGCTGAACCTAGTGAACGCCATGCTCTGCTGCTTGAACTCGAACATCTGGCATTTAATCCCGACGAGGAAAAGGACGAGATGCCGTCAATCAAACGGGATTCCATAAATATGGGTGAAGTGCGACACAAACAGCATTACATTCTCGAGCAATTGCGTCGGCAGCTTTGCACTCTGGCGGAAGCCCAAAATTGGAAACCCGAACCGGAATTGCATGCAGAACCACCTGCACCAGGTTCTGTGGACGAAGTAGTATGCTGCTGTATTAGAAAAAAACGAAAACCACCACCACCGCCGCAACAACCACAACAACCGCAAACTCCCGATATGAATTATAATGCATATGTAAGTAATGAGGAATCCAGATATTCGAGCTCGAGCAAAAACCAACCTGAAATGGAAATGGGAATGAGAACTGATCGAGACATTGAGTCATCGCAAAATTCAAGTGCAAAACAGGAAGTGTCAATCTCTAAAGAGGAAGCGTTAGCCTTTGCATGCAATACTGATCCTTCCTATTCCATAAGAGCCTCAACTACCCGTGTCAGTATTTGCCCGGAGAACGTTGGAAATGCTAAGGAGGCCCGACCATGCACCTGTAGAAAAATGAGCCAAAGACCGGATCGCTAAACTATTTAATACATATACAGATTCTAAGAACATACGGCTCATAAAATATGAGTTTCATACAAATAATTTCAATTTACAACGTTTATTTTACACATGGCTTTTGTCTTTTCGTCTATGCTATGCACTTTTGATTTACATAACAAGGTATATTTTGTAATCTTTTATTTCAGAGCATTTATAATACATATTTTACAAATAGTCGGCGGTCATAATAAAAGTATAATTAACAGACTTTTGTTGGCTTACTGCTTATATAGCTGCTTTAGTTCAATCCAGCACCGACCAAGTGCCACGCATTTGGCCTAGGTTTTTGAAAAATTACGGATCCAAGTGACCATCAGAAAATGTCGACACTCTGGCAATAAAGTTCTAATTTTTGGCGCTAACTTCTTATATTCCCATATACTACAAGCAATGTCCAAATCCAGCGTCAACTACGATAATAATAAACAAGTAAGGAAGGGCTAAGTTCGGATGTAACCGAACATTTTATACTCTCGCAAAGTCAAATAGTATACTCGTTTGAGATTTCTTTGTGGATTGACTGATATTTTCGGTAGAAGGTCAACTATATATATAAGGGTCCACATATTCAGTACTTAAGGGCTTTAGACAATTTTTGGCCACAACGTAGCATACTTTAATCGCATTATTCACGCAAAGTTTTATCCCGATACAGTCATTGTTGCCTGATTTGCATAGTGGAAAGTGAAAGAATCAGATGGAATTTAAAATGGTGTTATATGGGAAGTAGGCGTGGTTGTAGTCCGATTTCGCCCATTTTCGCACTATGAGATAGAAATATAAAAGGCACGTTATGCACCGGTTTGGTTGAATTTGGTTGAAGAGCAGATCTCAAGATATGGGTTTTCACCTAAAAGTACTGTCTAATTTTGAACGCGGTTCCTATAAAGTCATCTCATACCATCCCAGAGATAAAACTTAATGCCTTTGGCGTGTTTAGTGCTTGATTTATCGCGCTTTTAGTAGTTTTAACAGTACCGTTATATAGGGAGTGGGCGGAGTTGCTACCCGATTTCACCCATTTTCACACTGTAGGTAGAGGTGCTAAAAACATTTTCTTCCAGTGAATTTTGTTATTATTGCATTAGCGGTTTAGGAGATATGCACATTAAACCTTAAAAAAAAACTTAAAAAAAAAAATAACTGCAGATGCCCCTCTCTATTGTGATCCTGTATACCAAATAAGAGTCTTGTATCTTGTTGTGGAGCTTAGTTATGGCAATTTATTTGTTTTTGAATAATGGCGTTTGCATAATGGCGTGGCAGTGGTCCGATTACGCCCATCTGCAATACCAACCGTCTCACGGTACCAAGAAACATGTCTACCAAGTTTCATAAAGATATCTCAATTTTTACTCAAGTTAGAGCTTGCACGGACGGACGGACGGACGGACAGACAGTAACCCAGATTTCAACTCGTCTCTTCATCCTGATCATTTATATATACATAACCCTATATCTAACTCGATTAGTTTTAGGTGATACAAACAACCGTTAGGTGAACAAAACTATTATACTCTGTAGCAACAGGTTGCGAGAGTATAAAAATATACCTGGGAGTGAATCACTGCTACTGCTTGTAGCGTCTACCTATATACAGCGACTTACTATATTTAATATGTTTGCTGATTGATCATGTCTTGTGAAAAAAACCTTGAGACGGAGTTCTTTAATCTGCATAATTCGGAGAGTTAGTTTAGATACGTACAAGTATGTGTTACGTGTATGATATAGTGACATAATATAGCTATTTCGGTGGGAGTAGGTGAAGCACTACTTTTCTACTAACACACTCTCACTTGAAAGCCGTCTTGATATCAATTTTCTCATTCAAGTCGAGTGGCAAGTTGACGATCACGAACACCTGATCACTAAGTTTTACAAGCAAATGACATACAATTGTCGAGAATATAAATATTTCGTTACATTCTTGGATTGATATCAAAATATAAGTACCATAAATTTTCATGAATGTTAAGCGGTTTCCATGACAACGGCATCTTGAAACTATAATTGATTATCAAGTTGCTTGCAGCCTTGCAGATTCGTTATTATGTTACAAGAGTAAGAGAGTTATCCTTAAACTTATAATAATTATCCCTTAATGAAGTAAAGGCCACGGTTCGACTGCTTTGGTTGAAGAGGAAAGCCCAAGAGCGTCTACAGCTATGCTATCTTTAAGCCCATTGTGCACATACATACATATACAACCTGAATTCGACATAATATAGGTTTTTGACATCAAAGGGTACAACAAAGTATTGATAATAATGTCATATTCAATATCTAGATGGGTGGATGCACACCCCACAATCAAGAATTACTTGCATTTACATAGTGTTTATAATTGACGGCAATGTTGGTTCCCTCTTTTGCTTAAACAGAGTCACAGAGCCATATCATTTTCTATTTTTCTATCAAAGGAAGTCTGGAGAGTTTATTCAGGCTTTTTCAGTTTGCCTATAAAAGTTAAGCACATATATAAAAGTTATCCCCTTATCCCTCTAGAAAATGTTACGCCACTAAAAATCGTTGATTCATAACTACATAAGCCTCTTACCTGACCTCTCTTCCTTCGATATCCAGGGCGATATGCCATTATTTCATTTTATAGGTTTTAAAAAATCTGATAGCAAAAGCAAAAACTTTACTTTTATCAACGATAAAATCGCAGATTCCTTTCTCAAAGCAATACCCGTTCGTTGACCCCAAAGCAAGCGAACAAATTCAAATGAAATACAAACATTCCACCATGGCTGGAGCAGAATGAGTTTGAGGAATGCGTATGTAGCAAGAACCAAAAATCGCATTGTTTAAAATGGCCAATAGCTACATTACTTATCTATATTTATGCGCTTACACAGTGAGCGCTCTACCAGACACAAATTGTTACGACTACGTAAAGCAAATTTTTATACGCCTATATTATTGTATTCGCTTGCAAAGATAGGCAAGCTGGCAGAAAAACTCGTTTACGTTGTACGATGAGCGCTTAGCGTCTCCCCTAACACACACGGCGATCAAACCGGTAATTTCGCTACCCCGATTTCCTGTTGCCAGCATTGTGTACAGCGACGAATTAAAAAGAAATCAAATATTAAATACAGCTAAAATACTACTCTACGGTGTGTAGAGTTGTGCGCGCAGACTCCTGCGTAAAGTGCAGAGGCAGCCGAATGAGCTAAGGGTAGATTTAGCCGTCTGCACTACGTTGTGGCACGGATGCTGGTGGCGGCTTTTGGTGGTGGCTTCGCAGCTGCGCGCTTAGGACGTGGCTATTTTTAAATCAACGGATTTCTAGTGCCTTTCACTTCATTCATTAACCTCGTGTTCGTGCACTCAACCAACGCGAACGAGGGACTCAGTTAGAGCCAAGGCAGTCAGTCGTCAGAATGCGGCAGCCACTTTTTTGTTGTCAGTATTTGTGTGAGTATGTTTTCCTGCTTGTGAATCTATTTTTACCAACATTTGTTTTGTCGTGGTTTGTTTTTGCCAGCCAAGGGCTAAACAAAGGCAGCGCACATTTGCCGCACATCTGTATTCTTCTTGAGCTCTTTCAACATTTCCTACATCCTTTGGGTGTTTATCTGTACACAACAATTCATTATGTTCGCATTGTTTGTTTTCATTTAAGAAATAAGTTGGTGTATGTAGGCCTGGTTCCTTTTTCTATTTTTGGCGCAGGCGTTACATTCGGTCTGCGCCTTTAATGCGCCGACGCTCGTTAGGAAAACATCTCCATCGCTGATCGTTGTGCGCGTAAGTAGCTGAAGACTGGTCTACCTGCTTTGAATTTTGTCACGCTCTTCATTACGGCAAACGACAGCGGCAATTGGGATACGCAATAAATCAATGACCAGCAATAATTTGTGGTTTCGAGAGTGATCGCTGATGTTCAGGTGTGAATTTTGAATACTTCAAACAGTAGTCTTGGAGGCGTTGTACCCTTTCAATTCGTCAATAAGGTTCAATGACCCATCAAGGTGTGTATTGAAGTAAATATGTACATATACATACTTTGCACAATACATATACGAGGTGTGTTCAAAGGAAAAGGTGAATTGTGATTTTTCGCAGGCTGTGTACAATCGGTATTTTGCGTTTGTTATAACCGGACATGTTATGTTTATCATGTGCTTACATTACAAGTAGGAGCCAATTTTGATTAGTAGTTTTTTTTTGATAAGAAAAAGTTAGTCACGTTTTTGTGTGCCCTTCGATTTTTGACTTTTGAAAGAAATGAATCAAAGAATATGTATAAAATGTTGCAGTAAAATGGAGTAAAGTGCTCTAAAGTATTTGAAATATTGGCTGTGGCATTCGGCGAGTCCACTTTATCTCAAAAAGGTGTTTATAAGTGGTACAAAAGCTTTGCAGAAGGCCAAAAAGATGTTAATGATAACGATGGTGAGCCTCCTGGAGGAGCGACCACGTCAACAAGCGAAGAAAACTGCGAAGTAGTAAAAAAATTTTTCTTGAAAATCGTCGAATCACTATTAGGGTAGTTGCAGAGGATGTTGGCTCATGCCATTAAATTTTCTCGAATGTTTTGGGCGTGAAGCGTGCAGCGAAGTTTGCTTCGAAATTGCTAAATTTTGAGCAAAAGTAATCTCGCATTAGTATCGCTCAGAAGTTGTTGAATGACGTCAACAATGATCCAGGTATGCTCAAACGTGTCATAACTGGTGACGAAACCTATTCCTGTTCCCAAAACTGAAGAAATCAATGAAAGAAAAGCGTTTTGCCACAATTAATAAGAACAAGTCAGAGTCAAAGAAAGAGCTAATGCCCATCCCGAATAGCGCTTATTAGAAGTGCTTCGAGGATTGAAATAGGGGTGGGACAAGTATTTTATATTTGAGAGGGATTACTTTAAAGGGGACAAAAAAGATATGGATGAATAAATAAGTATTTTTCAAAAATATAAAAATTCACCTTTTCCTTTGAACACACCTCGTATACATATAAATATTTGTTAGCCCAAAATTTAATTGGTTTTTGGCGAATCTATTTTTACAATGAACCATATTTTATTTATACCTTAATAAAATAAATAATAACAACATGCGGCAAATATTACTCACCTTACCTTACTTACCCAAAAACAACAATTTGTCAAAATAGCCTTGACTCAGAATGTCAAAATAGCAAGTTTAGTTTTTATGATTCAAAAATAAATTTTTCAATGATTTGTTAAAAAGCAAAAAAAGTCTATAATTTTGTGAATTATATAAATGTAAATTAAATTTTAATTGCATGAAAATATAATAACTTATCATCAATAAACTAACCATACCCATCGACAAACGTATAATGTCGGACCTGGAGTTGGAAGAGCAACTTGCGGAATCCTCGGGAGCACCCAAAGAGCTCTGAAGTAGAAAATATTTATTCTAATTCTTCAGTTAAACAGGGAAATGTTTATCGGAAAGCTAAAACATTTGAAGATAAGGGCATTTCTTAAGCTGTGGGTAACTAATATTGTTAATATTCAAAATATAGAAATATCTACTGAAGCGCCCAGTGAAGCGTCAGAGCAGCACCTAAAGCGCCGCCTATTTTTGTGGATAACATCAATAACATCATGAACATGTTATCCGTGATTGAGATACTTACAAAACAGGCAGGGACTGTAAGGTAAGGTTCATGCTTAAGATAGTTATGGTTACAGAAAAGTAGTTAGAGCATTTACTGATATTGAAGTAGATCAGATGAAAGAGGAGCGTGCCTATAAAGCCAGCACATTTAGTTCGACATCTCACCAATGCCAAAATTTATATATTAAAAACACCAATATCAATATTGTTTATTGATCTTTAGCCCAGCACCAACAATAAAAATATACTCAATATCAAATAGCTCTGTCGTGCTGTTGTAAGTTTGGTGATTTTGTCAAGTGTTATATGCCAAGAGTTCGGACTCACGCAGAGATTCTGCAATAAATCTTTTAGATGTGTTAAATGTGCACAAAACCACCAAACATCCGACTGCACTAAAAGGGAAGCCGCTGCCTGTTGTACTCACTGTGGAGAAGAACTGGTAATCAAAATGAATCTCGGTCTGCTTCACCAAGTCAACTTATTTCTCACAAATAATTGATCAACTCAAGACGTCAATTAACCAGTGCAAGTAAGATTAAAAATTATCATATAATCCTAACGGTCTATGCAAAAGTAGAGCCGAAGTATAACGTTATATTAAAACCAACAACATCGTTATACTTCTTGTAGCAGAAACCCATTTTAATGATCGGTCTTATTTCCAATTCAAAGAATACAAACTAATGAAATCGAACCATTCAAGTGGGAATGTAAGAGGCGGGGCTACAGTTTTTATGAAATCTGGTATTTCGGACACGAAACTTGAATCAATTCAGCACAGGCAGTGGTCATACCTTATACTTTCCTCCGCAACACAACCTATCCCAAGTATTGTATGTGCCGATTATGGACCACTTTGGAAACAAAATCATTGTTGATGGTGATTATAATACCAAAAACACCTGGTGGAGCTCATCACTCACAAATAACAAAGGCAGAGCACTTTTGAACTGTATTTGAAATAAAGACTTGACCATCTGACCTCACGGAAATTCTAGACGTTCTTAATTTTTCTATATCGAAAGATTTTAACTAAAGACATATTCGCACTTCCCCCTGCTCGAGGTAAATACACCGGTCTTCGCAATGAACAAACCCACAAGTGTTCTTGGCAAAGAGGTAAATATTTTAAAATACCGTACATGGCTAGAGAACAAAGTGGACCACAATATCACCATTTGCTTTGAGGCATATATAGACTATGCTGCGGAAGTCCTGACCAGAAGCAACCACAAGCGAGACAGGTGTGTCTGGTCCAATGAAGTAATATCAAAGCTGAGAGAGAAGAGACGTCTTCGGCATGCATGGCAAATTAGCCAACACAGCTGAGGTTCTCTGGAAACTGCGCAACAAGAGACGTATTTGGTTGCTGCCAAACCAGAAGATCCAGAAGACAGTCTTTGGAATGCGACTAGACAAAACAAAAAGTCTATATCCAGATGCCCACCAGTTATCAACAGCAGAGGTCTCTGGTGCCGAACTCATGCAGAAAAAGCAGATGAGTTTGACACATATCTCCAAAACACCTTTACTCCTAACGAGTGAAATAGATGCTGTACAGTAGGGATCAAATCGTTGGCAAACAAAAAATCACCTAATTATGACAGAATTAATGCACAAGCCTTTAAAGCGCTTTAAAGAGCATCCAGGAAATTTAATCTTCAAACCTGAGCATCTGGTTAATTCATATTGACCGATTAGCCTTCTTGTACAATAATTATTTCGAAAATATTTAAAGGAATATTTTTGCGCAGACTTTTGCCTCTGTTGTAGGAGAAACAACTCGTCCCAGCTCACCAGTTTGACTTCCGAAAGTTTCATGACACAATTGAGCAATGCCACAAGGTAGAACACTGTATAACTGATGCTATGGAAAATTCTAAATACTGTTCTGCTGTTTTTCTTGATGTCCGTCAAGCAATTGACAAGGTCTGGCACCTAGGCCTATTATATAAGTTTAAAAAAAACTTCCTTTGCCTTACCTGCTGCTAAAGTCTTACTTGCATAATCGGACGTTCTACGTCAGGTGTCGTGATGGTGAGTCGGATCTGAGACCCATATGCGCTGGTGTACCTAAAGGCAGCGTTCTTGTGCCTATGCTCTACATTTTTTCAACGACTGACTTCCCAGTAATTGACTCTGACTCAACAATTTTGGCAACCTATGCGAATGACACTACACTGCTGGCGTCAAGTAGCAATTCTACAGCTGCCTCCATGAATCTGCAAAAGCAATTGACTGCTCTAGAACCGTGGCTCACCAAATGGAACATTGGCATTAATACTGAAAAGTCCATACAAGTGGTGTATACCCTCAGGTACGAAATATGTCCTCAAGTGGTCTTATAGGGACAGTTGCTACCAACAAGCGCAAGCGTAAAATATCTGGGACTTACAATTGATTATAGTCGTACATGGAGAGACCACGTGAAAATTAAAAGAACCCAGCTCAGGTAAAGGTTTGCGTAGCTGTACTGGTTGCTAAGGTCAGGACGCCGTCTCAGTTTCAAGAATAAGCTACTCATATATCAAAGCAATACTCAGACCTATCTGTTCGTATGGAATTCAAATCTGTGGAAGCTCAGCTGATTCAAATTTTAAAGTTTTTCAAGCATTTTAAAAAGTAGTCTTCGAACTATACCGGGTGCACCTTTTTAGAATATATTAGAAATGACTTAAAAATGCTCACTATAAAAGAACTATAGAAGAATTTAGTACTTGTAACCTTTCTTGTTTGGAGAACCATGATAACGTACTTGCGATCCAACTGTTGGATATTAGTGAACAATATAGAGTAGACTAAAAAGATATCATCCGTTTGATCTCCTCTTTCGATTCAATTGATTTCACCTTAATTTTTGTAAAACATTGTTCATTATACTTCAACATCATTGTTTTGCTCAGCAAATTTAGTTATTGACATTTTATTAATTAGATATATTCTAAATAACACTGAATATTATACAAAAAAAAAGATTTCTATCCATAAGAATGTGTCCGAATCATGATCCGAATAGATTGTAAAACATCCAAAATCATCCAAATGTAAACAAGAACTTCATACAAAAAACATAAAAAAGGGTTTTTTGTAATATGGATGGATGGAAAATGTAGCGAAAGGATTCAACTTCATTGTTCAACGATGATATGTGATATGAACTCAACCGAAGAGATTAATATTTTAATATATTAAGTTTATGTGAAAAACGTCAACAAAAGTATCGGAATTTATTATATTAGGGGCACTAAATAACACACATTTTGACCAACCTAAACGTTTTAAAGTCAGGTGAAAAGTCGGAAATCATTTTATAAGAAATTATTGGGGAAGAGAAACAAAACGTCTGACTGCCTTAGTTTTTGGCATTGCTCAGCTAAACTACAAGTATATCAAGTGCACTTATTTTCAAGCAAAAATTTTATAAATATATATATAAATACATATAAACATACATATGGAGTAAAGTCAGCCGAAAGTTTTAAAATCCTGAATATCAATTGCACGGGGGCTATGGCAAGTTTTCACCCTATTTTATCCATTTTTGGTACAAATATACACTGTTATTAGAATAATATGCTCTCTCAATGTCATTAAAATTACTCTCACATTGGCTGATATATGTGGTATGCAGTCAACTGGAAGTTTGAAAATCTTTTTATTAGGTAAATGGGAGCTAAGAGATGTATTGACCCGATGCAATACGCTTTTGACATGAGGGTATATTACTAACAAAGAAATATTTACTTCGAATTTCAATAATATATCTCACATATTGACCGATATTTTCGACAAAAAGTCAGCTATATACACTGGGATCTGCATATTCGGTATATGGGGGCTTGAACAGTTATGGTCCGATTTTGACCTAAGATGGCATACCTCAAGGGCACTTTTTGTGCAAGGTTTTATTTCAATATACATGTTGGTTGAAAAGTTTCTGTGCTCAAAATGAAAAGATGTACGAAATATATATATATTTTTTTTCACTATAATCTTCCTTAACTTCAATACAGTTATTCCAATGACACAACAATGCTAAACGACTTACTTTTGATTGGACCAATGATCCAAACTGAGATGTACATGTTGCTACTGCGCCTCCATCTGTATCGTTAAGCTATCACCGCAGCTGTCACTAAAATATACAGACAAGTATCCTTGAATAAAAAGTATCGTTAATTTCATTATATTCTCTGGCGAGACGCAGATCTTCTCACATGCCAGCTCAACACTGTGACATATGGCACTACCTCAGCTTCATATCTAGCAGTACGACGCCTTTACAACTTAGCAAATAATCATACTTGTATGAGTGAATTTCCAATGGACGCTGCGGATGTAAAAACTTCGTTTTATGTTGAAGATCTTCTGTGTGGTGCGGATGATACTGATGCCTTACACACATTAAAGGCTGAAATTATTGAGATACTTCGACGCCAAACTATGAAAGCGCTAAGTATTACCGATTGTTCTATAACAAGTGCACTTGGCGTGACTTGGAATCAAAGCAGCGACACGTTGTTGTTTACATTCACACCAAAACAAGGTCACAAGGCTGTTACAAAGCACACAATAGTGTCCATCACTGTCACTGTTCGATCCACTTGGAGTGCTCTCAACACTCGTGATAACCTCAAAAATATTTATGTAAGAATTATGTCTGCTAAAATTAGGATGGGACGAGTCGGTGCCTCAACATATACATCAAGCCTCGAAGAGTTCCTTAGTATCTCTTAACTCGCTTCCATCACTCAATCTGCCTCGTTATTGTCTACTACCAAATGCTCGCAACATACAGTTACATGGGTTTTGCGACGCATCAATTCCTTCATACGGATCGGCGATTTACATACGCACAGAAGATTCCGACGGATAGGTTGCAGTACATTTACTCACGTCGAAATCAAGGGTCGCACCAGTAAAAAGGCTGAGCTGAAATCTTCGATATTGTTTTCTGGTCCTGAGTTTTTGCTGGAAAATGCACTGAAATGGCCAAAGTACACAGAGTAACACAAGAAGACATTTGCTGTAGTTAAGGAAGCAAATTACTTGATCGATATCATTGATGGTATTAGCTCCTATCTGCATTGTCTGCGCCTCATCGCCCCTCTTTCGATTCAGTGATAAATGCAGACAAAAACTTAAGACTACCATCATATTGCCATCTCTCGACGAATTACAATGCTCAGCATGTTGCATTATCTTTAATATTCAGCAACAACATTTTTCAAACGACATTCAATTGCGTCGCAAAAATCAAGCTATAAAAAGTAATTTGAAGTTTCTCACTCCATTCCAGGATAACGTAACCAGTTTTAAACTCGTGAAGGTTGGTGGACGTCTGAATTATGAAGACCACTACCCAGCAATTCTTAACTTGTATTAAAGTACGTTCGATACCTAAATTTACGAAATTTTCACACAGGTCCAAAGGCATTGGTCGCCCTTATCAGATTGGAATTTTGGATTGTCAGCGCTTGAGATGTTACTCGTCGCACCGTTCGTTACAAGTCAGTACTGTTACAACAGGCAATATGCCCACTACCAGCTACACGCCTTAGACCTGCATGCCTATTTGAACGTTGCGGAATCAACTTTTGGTGACCGATAAACACATACCTTCGAATTCGAGGTAAACCACCAACCAAGTCATACTTTGTGTGCCTCGTAACTAAAACTGTGTTCATCGAGGTGGTATCCGACTTATCAACCAACACATTCCTAAATGCATTGAAGCAAAAGAGTGGTCGCCGCAAAATGCCATGTGATATCTTTTGCGACAATGCTACCAATTTTGTGGGCGTATCTAACCCGTTAAAGGACCTTAAACAATTCTTATTCAGGAATGAAACGTTAAATGTAATCTGGTTAAATGAGTTAAGCCACACCCTACTAATACACACCACGCCTGAGAACACCACCACACTCACCAAGATGTCACCTCCTGACAACACCCCACACCCCCAACCCGAAAACAGGTTGGACAACAAGACAGCCGGCATCATTCGTGTACGGGCCTGAGTGCCTAAAATTCGATACGACAATTCTTCTAATCTATAAATATTGTTTCTCTGATTTTATTAATTTTCATTTGACCCAGCGCACATCACTTCGGCGGCATCTAGGAAGCTGCGGTAAAGAGCGCAAAAGGGGTGTTAAATCGCACATTGGCAAACACTAAGTTAACATTCGAAGAGCTAAACACCGTTGCTGTGGAAGCATGGATCCTTATGACTTTGGGGCACTGGCAGCTGGATATTTTTTGGTCGTTTATTCATTGAGTGGCTTGCCTGACCGCTCGCTGGAGCTGAACCGTCTCACATCTTGATCGCTACAACACTAATCACTGCCATCAAGCAAAATTTTGTCAATGAATTGCGAGCCCGTACCAAATCGACAACAACTTCACCTGATCTCATTGAGGGTGCTTTAGTGATTATACATGATGACAACCAGCCACCGCAACGCTGGAGACTAGGTCGAGTCAAATCAACCGTGCTTAGACGAGACGGCCATGTTAGAGTGGTGAATCTTCGAACTGCCAATGGAAACTTTTGTAGGCCAATACACAAATTAGCCATTCTTCCGATTTCTTGAAAGATAGTTCTTTCAACTGGTCCGGCATGTTGGGTCACCCTAATGACATTTACCTGTGCTCCTCATTTGATAGCATTCGTAAATTCACTGCTTATATTCATACACACACACACATACATGCATTGTACTCGTAAACTTATTTTTATTACTTTCTCAAACTTTGTAAAGAGAACAATATGTACCTTGCATATACTTGTACATATGATCAACTATTAAAATAAATCATTCGCTAATAAATTGCTAACAGGAGCATATCGGAGTTCGTTATTCAGTCGATCGGTGGAGATGTAGTACGGTTTTTACACTTTGATTCTTTTGCTCGTCGCCGTTGACTGCACAACCCCAAATATACCCTTCACAGATACAAATGTTCCTAACAATAACTTGATTCCAATCTAATTTCGTGAAGATGCCTTGCAAATAAAAAAGTTTTCCATGCAGGCAATTTACTCCAATCGTTCAGTTAATATAACAGCTATATGTTATAGCCATCCGATCTGTATAATTTCTTCGGATACTGCACTATTGCCTTGAATAATAATCTATGCCAAATTTCGTGAAGATACAGACAGATTGTTCAGTTTGTATGGCAGCTATTTGCTACGATGGTCCGATATCGGCCGTTCCGACAAATGATCAGCTTCTTAAAGAAAAAAGGACGGGTGTAAATATCAGATCGATAGCTTAAAAATTGAAGGACTTGTTTGCATATATACAGACGGACGGACGGACAGACAGACGGACATGGCAAAATCAACTCAGCTCATCATGCTGATCATTTATGTATGTATGTTATAGGTTCTCCAACGTTTCCTTCTTGGTGTTACAAACTTCGTGGCAAACTTAATATACCCTGCTCAGGGTATAAAAAGGCAAGAAAATCGCTTCTTGCTCCAACATTAAGAGAATAATTTATATTATTGTTACGATTTAATTCATCGTTATTTCTAAATCCAGATAGTTTAAGACGATTTACAAAGCGAAATAAAAGTAATTTAACATCCAAAATCGCCTTTATTCAGTTGATAATTTGATATAAATGTGTAAAGTAAGCATGTATACAAAGATCCTCGTACAAATAAATGCAAGCGAAATTTCACATGCGACTCCTCTGGTGCATCAAGTGGATAACGGTAATTTTTAATATCTTCCAATAAAATAAAAGCTAAAATAGCGGAACTCATTGTAAACTTTAGTAGACTTTATCCGGTATTCAAAATTTATCAAACGATTCCAAATTTATTCATTTGCAAGTTTCATCACAATAGTAAACAGCTGATTCAAATTTTGGTTTTGCATATGTTCGAAAAGACGAAAATCCAATCAGATTCTGTGACACCATTGAAAATCAGAATTGGTTTGCAATTCTGACAACTACGCAAATCTGTCTTGGATTCCACAACATCTCTGAATGTTTGTAAAAGAGTTAATATCGAAATGAAAATCATTCTATTTATTTTACAACTCAATCAAATCAAAACTTATGTGCACATATACGAAAATGAGGTTCGTGATCGCTCGAATTTCCAAGCACCAGTCATAAAAAGTTTTAGTGAGGCCCTGTGTTCCACCTAGGAACTCTGGGAGAATATATATGTATATATAAGTCATAACAAGTGTTAGTGGTAATTGAATGACTCCTTAATAATATTTCTTTTGCAGTCTCATAAACTTGCGTTTAGTCAAAAACGCATTTTGTTTTTTGATAATGAGATGAATTTTCTACAAAAATATTCAATTAAGTATTAGTTTCAAAGTATTTATTTACGCAGCTTCGCCTTTTTTCAAAACTTGTCGAAACCTACCCCAACCTTAGCGGGTATATAAAAATGTTGTAAGACTTTGACGACTCAATTTAAGGCATTTTGACGACTTGAGTTGTTACATTATGTTGTAAAATGTCAACTGAAGTAAGTTAAAACCCGCAATAAGCATATTCATATCCACCAGATATAAAAACAACGCTTTTTAGATTTATAAAATTTATGTTAACATGAATATATATTAATGGCAAGATGTAATAATAGTTATACTTATATGTATGTGTGAAGTTACTGATATTATGCACTAATTTAATATGTATATATGTGTATAGTCGGTTAATTCACAAAACTTAGGAAAGAAAAAATTTCAACTTATTTTATATTTACTTTTAGATATTTAAAAAAATAAATTTTAAATGTATTGATATGCTCTTGTTTTATATTATTTATGGCTATTTGCTTGACATCAGGCTATAATTTTTAATAACTTATGTAATATATATTTTGACTTAAGACAATTTTAACAGTTAGTATTTGCAGTAGAGATGAGTTGATTTTTTTCAGGTCTTGAATCCCGAAACTGTCAAAAAAAAACTGTTATGAACAAAAAATACTTACACTTACTGTTAAAAAGATAATTCAATGTTTATAAACTGTTATTTTAATTTAAAAATTATAAAATAATAATTATCATAATAATGAACCTCATATTTGGTTTATGTGGTGTTTTTTTTTTGTTTGTTTGTTCAATTTGGTATTGCAAGTATTTGGCATTAGAGCATATAAAACCTCAATTTTTGTAGAAAACAGTGCAAGGTTATATTGCAGTTCACATTTTCTGAAGTCTCTCTTTGGCGCAAGCGTTGTTTTAAAGTACAGTCAAAGTAAATTTGTGTACGTTTATAATTAATATTTTATAACATTCGGCTTTCCAGCCATTTGAATTGCTTTAAGGAACGCTGAACATTTTTTGAAAGATTTTTTGTGTTCAATAAATTCTGTTATTGGAACTCTGACATTAATATTTTTGTAGCATATTTAGAATTTTTGTAATTAAGTTAAGTTTAAAAAATAATTATACGTGACATATATTTTTATGATAGTTCGAAAATTTTATGGTTACAAAATATTTAAACTTGTTTAACTTATAATTTCGCATTCATTTGGTAACATATAAAAAATTTTTTTGGCAAAAATTATAAAAATAGTTCCTATAAATTTTTACTCAAACTTTAAATTAATAAATTTTGTAAATTGCTTTTTGCATATTGTTGTTACTTACATATTCCCATATTTATTCTGTGTTTTTATTTATTTTTTTTTTAAATATTTTGTGTTTCAGGTTTAGTACTTTAAGTTAGTTAGTAGTTATAACTATAGGTAGCTACTAAAATTTTTCTCAATCTTTATATTGTTAAATTTAGAAAATTTTATTGTCTTAAGTTGATGTTTTTATTAATTTTAGTGTTTTGTTAAGTTCATTCATTTATTTATTTATTTTGTATTTGTTCTCCGCTTCTTCGTTTAGGATATTAAATTTTACAAATTTAAGTAAAACGAAAAAATATATTTAAATCATAAAACAAACGAATAATAATCAATTGTTAAAAATAAATGTTTTAATATCAAATGTTACAATCTAAAAACAATTTGTATCAAATTTTAAAATATCTGTTACAAAAACTGATATTCAGAAATATTTTCATTTTAAAATTATAAATATGAACTTCTTCTCACAACAATTACTTTATTTAATAATAAACAATTTATGAAATCGATTTTATTTTATTTTCGAAATCTTCGCCTTAATTTGGTTTAAGTTTGTTCATAACCGTGGTTTCTAATTTAAATTTCGAGAACATATAAAGTTAAACAATATAATAATTCCTGGAAATCGGATAAATGAATTGAATCATGAGCTATTTATAAAAGTGTTTGAAAATTTAATTTTATTTTTTCCAAATATGTTTATATTTGCAATGTGTTAGCCATTTCACCAACCATTTGATTAGGCAGGTTCTGAAACTTACCCAAAACTGAAAATATAATAATAAAAAACAATAAAAATCTTAACTATAGGAATATGTAAATAAATAATAATCGAGCAAACTAATAGTTTGATATTTTATTTATTCAGACCTTCAACTAATATTTTGATTTTAGTTTGAGTTTACTTTAGTGCTTAAAATAATTTATAATAAAAATAATTATATTATTTATTTATTTTATTTGTTTGAATAAAAAAATAAACAAAAATTTCAATATGGCATTTTGAGCAAATTGTGTTTCAGCCAATTTATAAAATTAGGTTTGTCGATCGCTTTTAATTTCTTCATTTTGAGCATTTAAATAGAGAGCTAATGCGATAGTAACAATATAAACTTAAAATTATAAGCATTATGAAATAATACATATATAATATTTATACAAAAAAACACATACACCAAAGCAGAATATATGTAAGAGTAACATATGCATACAAGCATTTATAAAACTAAAAAATATGGCTTTTGCAATAATTTCAAAATTTGTTTGGAAATGTCTTAGAAAAATGTTGACATTGTCTGCCACATACTACTTGCTGAGTGCTCCAAGAACCCGTGAAAGTCACATAAACATAGTGTTCGTTGCACCACTGCTACATACTCACACCCACGTACATTTGTAGTATGTAGTTGGTATCATATTTGCTACACGCTGCTATCCAATACTTGTATCACAGTCCAGCGCCTATTTGGCTTCGCTTGTTTGCGTCTGCACCAACAACATGAGTATTTTGTTCATTAAATTATCCGCCTCCGTGTCTTCCATGCTATTGAGTTTTGCCGAAATGAAGCCACAAAATTTGGAGTTCAACACCTCGCGCACCGTCTGTGGCGGCGGCATATCCAGTATACAGCTATTCATGACACCGCCACCACCGCCGCTCATGCTGCCATTTTGTTGGCGCAAATGACGATGCTGCTGCATCATCTGGCCCTCGTAGTCGTCTTCATCATCCGCAGCACCGTCGTCCATGCCGTCACCGTTGAGGTCACGTCGTTTACGTTTCAATGCGCCACTGCCACCAATGTTGCCATTGCCGCCTGCTGCGCTCATGGAACGCGGCGAATTTGCGTCGAGAATGAGGGGATAGGGAAAATCGGCATCTATGGCTTCTAGCTCCTCCACCTCGTCGGAACCTTGATTGCTCATTTCCGCATTACGTATGGAGGCTTCGTCGCCGCTGCGTACTGATGATGCATCAAGATCGTCGAAAGTGTTGCTGTGCTGCGTGGTGCTGTCATTGCGCGTGGACGAGACGCGGCTGTCATGCGCAACGCTGTGTAATTGTTGTTGCTGCTGATGTTGTGTTTGGTGCGCCGGCAGTGGATGTATGGGCACTGCTGCATTGCCACCACTACCACCAATGCCGTTGCTACCCGCATGCGCCGCTGACAGATCCATTTCTGATTTCACATAATAATAGTAGTCTTCGTGACTCATGTTCAGGCCTGGTGCGCATTTCGACAAATTCAGTGCACTCTCGTTGAAAGCCGAATGCAATGCATTGAGTTTCATTACAGACTTGCTGTTGTTGTTGTTATTATTTAAGTGCTGCGAGAAAGCGCTCAAATTAAGGCCAATGGCCGCCTGTTCAGCTGCGTGCGAACCGCCTCTGCAAAGATGTGAAGTAAATGTGCGAGAAAAGTGGAAGAAAGAAAAAGGGGAGAATAATGATTAGAAATTTAGTTTTTGGTGAGTCCACTCAAACTACATATGTATCTATATAAAATGTATATAAAGGGTGTATTAAGAAGAACGATGTGATGTTAAAATAATATAAAACACTAAAATGTGGTCAAAATGGGTTATATTTTTTTTTTGTTTTGTTATACTATATACCGTTTACTCTAATTTTTGATGACCCGGTTAGAATTCCAGTTGGAATTTCGGTCATAGTGCGCTGAATGTTGTCTTCGAGCTCCTCGAGCGTTACTGGTTGATTTGCGTAAACCTTTAATTTCTTTAATTTTTAACATACCCCCAGAGAAAATAATCTAAATTCGTTAAATCGCATGATCTTATCGGCCATTTGACTATTTCTCGAAATCAACGAGTCGTCAAACCTTGCACGCAATGTGGCCATGTTTCGACGTGAAATATGGGGCGGCGCACCGTCCTGATGGATATACAGATCGTTCGCGTCGATTTCATCAAATTCCAGTCAAAAAAAAACAATTGGTCAACATCGTGTTATAACGCTCGCTATTGATGGTAACCTCATTTTCTGTCTCATTTCGAAAGAAGGTCCGATGATGCCGCCATACCACAATCCGCACCAAACGTTTAATTTTTGGGGATACAATTGTGTTTCCTGAACCACACGAGAATTTGACCACGACTATCAATCCCTTTTTGTAGACGCTGTATGTATATATGTATTAAGCTTAAAGGTTTATAATAAAGTTAAGTCATAGTAGATGTAAAATTTTGTCATAACTTATTAAAATATCGTGAAGAAACTCCAATAATAAATAACAAAATAGATCAGCTTGTATTAAAAACGCGCCTTGCTCATAAAATATATCTAACTTCTTAATCGGGTTGTCGGAGAAGCAATCCTGTACATTGAAATATCAAACAGCTGACACGGAAAGCTACGCAGCCATCCCCACAATGGCCGGGTCTACGTAGCCGGAGCGATCCCGGTGTTCTTTTCCGGCTGAGAAATGTCAACTCGACATCACACATATTATTTGCAAGATGGGGTGCGTTCGAGCTACATAATAATAACAGCAGTATATCAACTGTGTTGCATATTTGCTGATACTCAGTTGCCGATTATTTGCATAAATTGCGCGCAAAAAGTGACAGTAAATCACTCAGAACGTGATATTTTGACACATTTGCAATACACCAATGTTTTATGCTGCTACAACAATAACAACGGATTGTGTTCAATCCACTGGACACCCTCTTATAGAGAGAGGTATTTTTAATAAATCAGCGCAATTTTTCTGCAGTCAAAAAGAGACCATCTTTACTCAATGTATATCATCGAATTTGAGTAAAATACCCATGCAGCTCTAAGAAAGTAAATTCTTTTTTCAGATATCGAGTGGCAAGCACCAAAACGCCCTTAACATGAGAATTAGCAAGGGTTGTGATATACACCTTTTCTAAAGTGTCAAATGGATTTCATAATGATACGGATCATTCCTATTATGAAAGTATATAATTACCACTTTAGTCATTTCTTAAGTTATGTCGACTTTTATAATGGAACCTTATAATCGAATTCTTTACTAATGCTGGAATAACTGATAAGCGAACATTAGATAAATGTATTGCACCATTTCCGTATTAATGATATTCCCATCCTAATTTTCAATTCACATACCACAAGTGATTACAACTTATATTGACTTGAAAAAAATTGATTGCGGTTCGAAAGTATCCACATGCAATTGCTAGAGATTGCAATAGGCCTTGACCAACGTAAAGCATAATCTAGAAAAACCACAGGAACCACGGAAGTTCAGCTTTATCAAAAAGTTTAGAACGTTCCCACGAGATAGCGGTGAGCCCATATGACAATTATAATACAAATGTATATACATATATATGTGCATGTTTATGTGGCTAATGAATGATTAGAATATATATCCAAAATATATGTGTAGATAGATATACATATACTACCACATATATTTTGACATGCCGCAGCCATAAATGTGTTTATCACTTCAAATTTTCTATCTGCTGTCTTCAAACCCGCCTTGCATCTCCCTATACATTAGGCTAAAAATAGTAAAATTGTCAAATGATCCCTCTTTAAACTACAATTACAAGGCAAATTCAAGCCGAGATTGGTGGAACACTTAAAAATCAGGCATGACATGTTTGATGTACAAGTAGTAAGCATAAAGTCCGGGAAATATTATATATCATATTACAAATGTATTTTTCGTGAACTTCAAATGGCTCTAAATAAAAACGAATTGGGCAAAGGAAAACCTTGATAGAATGAAACAATACAAGGATCTGTACTAACAAGCATTATTCCTAAAGCATGTGTTGAAAAACGAATTCACAAGCAGCCTTATATGTATGTAAATATATACAAATCAGTTGTTGTACATGTGTTAACGTTCGTTATCTGTTGACGTCTCTGTTTGCTTTTAGTATTGACTGAATTTCCTTCATCTGTCGCAGCTGCATTTTATGTTATTTTTAAACCAAGAAAACGTTATATACCTACAGATATACATACATATTATATATGTATATGTTTCCTGGTGATAACTGATAAATCTGCGCACGTTATATTTTTAAACACAAAAGTAACGTATTGTTAAGTAAAATTGATGTAGCTCTATTCAATTTGTCGAACATAAGCGAGTAGCGAATCGAACAAACAAAATATACTCACGTAAATAAAGCTACCATACAAACTGAAGAATCTAAACAATTTCTTCGGAGATTGCACCATTGCCTTAGGCAATAATTCATGCCAAATTTCGTGAAGACATCTCGTCAAATTAAAAAGTTTACCACCAGCACTCTATTGGGGGATCCGACAAATGAGCAGCAGCTTGAGGAGAAAAGGAAGTGTGCAAAATTTCGTTCGATATCTCAAAAACTGAGACACTAGTTCGCGTATATACATACAGACGGGCATGGTTAAATCGACTCAACTTGTCATGCTGATCATTTGTGGTATGTACATTTTTTAAAGGGTCTCCGACGTTTTCTTCTGGGTATTACAAACTTTGTGGCAAAATTAATATACTCGTTTCAGGATATAAAAAGTAAACAGCTGCCTTCTCTTAAAGCGCAATCTGGATAATTTTTTTGTTGTATTTTTTGTATGCACATACATATTTCGAGGGTTTAGGGATTTTTATAATTCGGAAATATCGGTACTTATCGACATCGGTACGAAGTTCAAACTTGTTCTAGATATATTTACTAAGAATGCAAAACGCAATCAATTTTTTGTAATTCCGAAAAATTTACAACTATATAATTCAAGACTCCAAATTTTTACACTCTCGCAACCTGTTGCTACAGAGTATAATAGTTTTGTTCACCTAACGGTTGTTTGTATCACCTAAAACGAGTTAGATATAAGGTTATGTATATATAAATGATCAGAATGAAGAGACGAGTTGAAATCCGGGTGACCGTCTGTCCGTCCGTCCGTGCAAGCTCTAACTTGAGTAAAAATTGAGATATATTTATTTAACTTGGTATACATGTTTCGTGGAACCGTGAGACGGTTGGTATTGCAGATGGGCGTAAAACGCCATTAATCAAAAACAAATAAATTGCCATAACTAAGCTCCGCAATAAGATACAAGACTGTTATTTGGTACACAGGATCACATTAGGGAGGGGCATCTGCAGTTAAAAATTATTTTTTAAAGTGGGCGTGGTCCCGCCTCTAATAGGTTTAATGTGCATATCTCCTAAACCGCTAATGCTATAATAACAAAATTCACTGGAAGCAAATTTTTTTAGCACTTCTATTGACGGTGTGAAAATAGTTGAAATCGGGTGGTAACTCCTCCCACTCCCCATATAACGGTACTGTTAAAAACTACTAAAAGCGCGATAAATCAAGCACTAAACACGCCAGAGCCAATAAATTTTATCTCTGGGATGGTATGAGATGACTTTATAGGAACCGCGTTCAAAATTAGTAAGTGGTCGTGGCACCGCCTACTTTTAGGTGAAAACCCATATCTTGGGATCTGCTTAACCGATTTCAACCAAATTCGGTGCATAACGTTCTTTTTGTATTTCTATGTTATAGTGTGAAAACCTGCGAAATCGGACTACAACCACGCCTATTGCCTATATAACACCATTTTCAATTCCATCTGATTCTTTCACTTTCCACTATGCATATCAAGCAACAATGATTATATCGGGGTAAAACTTTGCGTGAATAATACGTTTAAAGTATGCCACCTTGTGACCAAAAGTTGTCTAAATCGAACCAAAACTGTTCAAGCCCCTAGGTACTAAATATGTGGACCCCAATGCCTATAGTTGACCTTCTACCGAAAATATCAGTCAATCCACAAAGAAATCTCAAACGAGTATACCATTTGACTTTGCGAGAGTATAAAATGTTCGGTTACATCCGAACTTAGGCTTCCTTACTTGTTTTAACTGACTTCGGCGTCATAACTTTTTACTTCGAACTAATATTAAAAGTTACAAAATAAAAGCAGTGTTAAAGATCGAAATTCACCGACTTTCTTGAATAATTTTTACCATGAATATTTCCGTGACTCCACTAAGCATTAGTCTTACACAATTCTAACACATACATTTGACGCTATAACTTATTTAGGCTTAAATCTCGTATTCTCACGTCTATTGTGTGAGCTGTCATGCCACTACTCGCCCTGATCTGTGTGCTTTGAATCGCTGCTCTTTTACAGCATTTTCTTTATATCTACTCTCGGACACAGGAAAATGTTGTGCCCTTCTGTGTAAGCTACAAGTACTTATACTTTTGTATGTATATATAGTCGTGTGTATACACTCATTCGTTGCGGCTGCTGTCGGGATTGTCAATTTTTAATCTCGACCAAGTGGTATTTTGCTCGTACTGACGCTCGCCCTCTCGCCTTGTAGTATTTTCAGTATTCAACTGGAGTG